GTGTTGTATCGTATGGGTAGGGTGCCTCTATTGGGTCCTCTCATACAACATTTATGTATCTTTCCTATTTTAATAGATTTAGCCCTTGGGATTTTCAAAAAAAAAACATATATATATATATATATATATAATTCAAAATATATGTTATAAAACTCTTACTAAATATTTAAATTAAATTTAATCACCCTTAAAACCTCTTGGTTGAGCCCTAACCGTTGCAAGATAAGCTCTACACGTGACTGTTTTCTTCATGCGCATGAGGGCTCAACTTTTGTTCCTGCACTAACACATGAGCTTCATTTGTGCGTCTTCCTCCTCTGTGCGCTACGCAGGAAAGCTCCCTCTCCACTGAGCCAAAATGCTCAGCCTCTTCGACTCCTTCGGTCATGACTTCACATTGCAGCGTAAACACTCGATGTCTCTGTCCCCCTCACTTTCTCCTCTTTGCTCAATAGAGACATTGTAGTCCGTCGACATCATCACCTTCGGTTACGAGGATGCCCTAATTTGCGCCTGTCGTCTCTCGCACTTGTTCGACTCAGTCGGTAAGTTTTTGCCTCTCTCATACGATAATTTATAAGCCAAACTCACCTCCTTGGCTTCCAACCACTTCACTTCCTCTCCCCTCTGTTCGGATGCCCGACACATTGCCTGGGTAATTGAAACGGGACGTTACATGAGCTAGACATAATATAACCCAAAAAGCATACCTAATCCGTCATGAAGTCATTTCTTCGAATGAGCATATAGTTTCTCTACTTGCAATACCTCAAATAATTGCCTCAGGTGTTGTAAGTGCACCTCAAATCGACCGTATACTAGAATATCATCAAAGTAGTGTACCACAATTTTTTCCATATGGGCCCAAAATTCGTGATTCATCAATCTCATAAAATTGCTGAGTGCGTTTGACAAGCCAAGGGGCATTATTGTCCGTTTGTATAAACTATCTCTTGTCTTGAAAGCGGTCTTCCATTAGTCTCCTAGCCTCATTCATATATGGTGAGTCAATCTTGGAAAAGATGGTAGCTCTGTGTAACTTGTCCAAGAGATCGTCCAGATGAGGTATGGGAAGCCGGTACTTGCTGGTGATGTTGTTGATGAAAACTCCTTATACTTCGTAGCTCTTAATCTTTAGACGTGTGGATTTGGCATCACTGATCCTGGTATAAGATCCATGACGTGCTGAATGCCTCTCAGTGACGGTAATCCCTCCGAAAAGTTGCCGGTCATCACATCCTGGAAGTCTTGTAGGAGTGGTTATAGTAGGGTTGATATCTCACTTTTCTCCTCAGTTCTCTCTTGGAGGACTAATGCGAGTACCATTGGAGCATCCTGAACTGACTGTATGAAGGTGGCCCGTGGGACTAATGGTTTTTCTGTGTCGACTCTGCCTCTTGCATTTTTAGCATGTAACTTCACAATGCCTTTTCTATCTTTCTTAAAGGAGTAAGTATTCTTGAAGCCGTCGTGCTGAGTCTTGCAGTCGAATTGCCAAGACCTACTAAACAGAATGTGACAGACGTTCATCGGAACCACATTGTATGATATTTGCTCTTGTCGCTGATTCCCAATTGAAAATTTAAACAAGCACTGCTGATCCATATGTATTTCTTTTCCCTTCTTCAACTAGACAGGGGAATAGGACTAGGGATGTTTCTGCGTGAGCGATCCTAATTTCTGCCTCATCAGCATGGATACTGCATTTTCGCAACTCCCACTGTCAATGAGCAAGCCGAAAACCTTCCCTTTTACCATGCACTTGGTGCGAAAGGTACCTCATCTCAATTAGAATTGATTTCGCTCTGGCTCCATCTGCAAAACTCTCCATATGACTAGCATTTCTCCCTTGTTCCTCTGGAGCTGATATTCTTCCTCTTGACTATCCTTTTACTCCCTATCCTCCACTTCCTCAACTGCGCCCTGATCCGTGAAGATGACAACTCAGCTCATGGGATAGCTGAAGGCAATATGTCCGTAGCCGTGACACCTGAAATACCTCCTGGCTGGTACTATGCTGGAAGAGTTATCTTTCTTCGACTTCTTCCCACTCTGATCCGGCTTGTCGTTTCCTTGACTTGTTTTGCTAGCTTCTGGAAAAGCATTGCACATAAGTGTTTGCAAAATAAAAAAATCATCGCTTGGTTAAGGTAGATAATGCCGGAACAACAACGAGAGGAAGAGAAACCACTGCATGGAGGGCGGGGCCAATGATCCAAACCTGGCTGAAGAATTGAGATGAGAGGGAGAGGAAGAATGGAAAGCTCACCGCAACAACCACCGGAAATTTAGGGCAAGAATCACGAGAGAGGGAGCCCCGTAAGAATCACGAGAGAGGAAAGTTAGGGCAAGAATTGCGAGAGAGGCATAGGCACTCGCGGCTCGCGGTTCCTCCAAATTATCCAATTAAGTGGACACACCCTTTTTATCAAACGTACGCCTAGAGGCCTCTGGCCGCACTGCAGCCATTAAGCCGCCCCAAGCCCCAAACGGGGCCTTAGTCATCTTTGCAATGAGGTAGATTTCTTGTTTTGTATGAATTACAACGCAGTTGAAATTGAATTGAAATTCTTAACCCTCTTTTAGATGTTATCGTGCCTTGCTTGGACAGCAAGGGTGGTTGCTTGTTAATGTGCAAGCAAAATTCCACTAGTAGCAGAGAACTAGCCTTGTGACCAATCTCTCTAAGCATTGTTTTTTACCACTCCCAAAATGGGGAACGAAGAATATAAAGGCTGATTTGTCGGAAAAATGGGGAGCAAAGAATATAAAAAGCTGATTTGTCGCTTTTTCATGATCTACAACAGTTAATTTGCTGTGCTTCATTCCCCATTTCCAGCAATGAAACGAAAACCTATTTGTACATTACAATATTGCTTTGATTCCTTTAAGGTGTTGATTTATCATGACTCTCATGTTAATAATTTTTTTGCTTTAAAATTTAGTTTTTCCATTTCATTTGATATGTTATGATTGGATAATTTCCCAATGTCCTGCTTATTTTATGTAATACATTGTAAACATGCTTGATTATTGTGCACTTTTATCATTACCAAGATGAACGCTGTTGTTATTACTATAGGCAGTAGTACTGGTCTTTTTCCCTTTCTAATGTTCTACATACCACCTTATTGTACTGGTATTTTTCCCTTTCTAATGTTCTACATACCACCTTATTGTCTTTCTATATCAATTATTAGAATAGCATTTTATTAAGATTTAACTTTTTCCATTATGTATTTACATAGACAAGAAAGAGCAAACTTTCAGGCAAACCACACAACAGATGGAAGTGAAGGATCGTCTAATGTTAATGATGGACACGGTGAACAAAAAAAAGAATCCATGCTGGAGCTTTTTGATTTTGATTCTCTTGTGAGTGTATTGGGACTGAGGAGGTACAGAACGGAGTTCACTGTGACGGGGGAGCAAAATCCAACAACTTCTAGTCCCAGTGAAGGCGAAGATGTAGCTATTACACTCGGGCGTCCTAAGGTAAGGTATCCATCATAATACAAATTATTGAAAAACAGCACTTTTGGTTCTTTCAAATTTTTTTATGTAGGTTGCTTCTTCGTCTATAAATCTGCTGATCTACATCGATTTGTGTGGCATAAATATATTTTCTCCGTACAACATTTGATCAAATATTTCATTTATCTGTTCATACAAACAGAAAAAAAATCTCCTACACACATAATATAGCATCGTACAGATATACACATCCACGTGTGAAACAACGCATAAATTTTTGTAATTTAAACATCAGTTAGGGTTAGTGAGACGAGCAGTCATGCAAAGTCCAAACTTGTAATGGTTGAAGCAAGAATACTGGTAATTAATTAAAGCAACATGATTATCTATCAAACTTGTCCTTAGCTGGGCCTACTGATTGAGTTAAATTGCTAATCCCTCATCTTTCTTAACCTTTGGCTGCATGATATTAATATTAATGGCACACTCAATTTTCAATTTTGTCTACTTGGCAAGTATAATAAATACTAAATTATGAATAATTATTTTTTCTACAATTGATACTGGAGTTAGCCCAAACCACAACTCAAGACATGAATTTATTAATAACTTAAAAGATGGTTACAAAGATGACTCAAAAGAAAGAAATACACTGCACAAATCAAGACATAAAACAAAATATTACAAAAAGACTCAACACATAAATACATAACAAGCTAGACGCGGAGGAAGTCCATAGAGATGGTGCCGAAGCGGTGGTTGTAGGGAAGGTCGGAGTGATGTCAGGTGAAAGTAAGTTAGCACTCGTCGAGGAGTCGAACCGTAGATGAAAGTAGCGGGCAACGTCTTCGAAGACTGGAATCCGAAGGCAACGGGAAAGGCGGCCAAAGCCGAGGAGCGGAAGCACGGATGGCAGCCGAAGCTGAGGGGCAGTGGCACGGACGACAAAGGACTGCAGGAGGGCTAGGGGCGGCAGCTGGAGGCACTCAGAGGGCCTGATAGTGAG